CTAAATCATACTTTCCATTATATGAAATATTAAAATAAATTTTAACATCAAAAATTTAGAAAAAAATAATTAAATATTATTTAGGTTAGATTTCAAACTAATTTAAATAATTAATTAAAATAAATTTCTGAAATTATATATAATTATAAATATAAATATTATACAAATATTTTATTAAATAATAATTAAAAAAAAAAATCTTATTTCTTCAAATAATCAAAAAAAATATTATAATATATAATTATGATACCTGCTCAGTTTCAATCTCATCATAATTAATTTCTTCTACAAACTGCTGCTGATGGCTTACTAACTCTTTATCCGCCATCACACACAGTTAACATCACATTAATTTCAGAGTACATTTAATTATCGAGCGTATTTATCGTAACTGAGTATTTGTTTAAACTTGAGCTCAAGCTCCTTTGATATTTTCCATTTTATTAATATTTAGAAGACATATATAAGAAGAAAATTACATCAATCGATAGTTGTAATTCGATGTATCGATTTATCAAAATACGATCCATGTTTATAAAAGAAAATAGCAAATATAATTAAATTTACATTAACAAATATAAGAAATAAATCTTTTTCATTTAGTTAAAATATATAATTAAAATATTGAAGAAATTATAAAAATAAATAAATATTTATATATATTTATATATCTATATATTATAATTACGTAAATTACATAAAATATTTTACATAAAATAAAAACATTTATTATAATGATATTTTGCTTAAATTTTTCTTATAAAATATGCTATTCAATTATAAATTTTTTTTATATTATATATATATATATAATAACTTCATTCATTAAATTACATAAAATAATATACAATACAAAATTATTATAATTTAAATAATTTAAAAAATTTATATTTTTAAATAACGAATTTTATTTATTTATTACAACTTTTATTTATTTTATATAAAATTTGATTTTTTACATTTCATATTACATTCTATTGATTTAAGATCTATGATCTAAAGAAAAATTCATTTTCATTTTCATATTTATTTTTTAAATATATTTTAAAATTATAATTTATATAATTGTATATATAATTGTATAATTGTAATACACATATTATAATATTTAATTTTATTATCTATAATTTATTTACAAAATTATAAAAGTTAAAAAGAAAATATAATTATTTTATGATATAATATAATAATAATAATACCACTAAAAATTATTATATATGAAATAAAACAAAAATTATTCAAAAATATATAAAATCATTTATTAGTAATAATGAGATACTAGTATTAATATTTACTATTTATTAATTGAATCTTAATTTAATATATTATTACGTAAAATCTTTTATACTACTTATATACATATAAATTATATTTTATAAACGACTTATAATATTAAAAAAATTATATAATACGATAAAATATAATACGAAAATATATATAATATAATAATTTTGTTTATTAAAAAAATTAATTTTAATGGTAATTTGTTCGAAAACAATAGAATACTACAAAGTATAGCATAAGTAGTAATATTGCGTAAGTAATAAATTCTGTCCTGCATAAGGATTTATGTGACATGGCACCAATCACAGTTCATAATTTTTTAATTTACACTCAAAATTGTTAAGCTAATAAATTTTCGTCGCTAATAAACAATTGTGCGATCACTTCTAATTTAAGTGAGAACATTGATAAAATTTGATTTTATAAATATTCGAGATGTTTTATAATTATCAACTGTGAATCAATTTCTTTTCAAAATGGCAGAAAATCTTTCCAAACGGCCCCCCAAGGGAATTTTAAAATCATCTAGCTTTGATAAACCGGATTTACCCAGGTAAATGATTTTACACATTTAAATTGATTTCATTAAAATCATAATTTATGTAAGTATAAATATATTTAAAATGGAGGTTATTTTTTTGTAACTAAAAATTACAGGAATGAAAGATATAGAAAGAGAGAAAGAGACGACAATAGATTAAACTTAATATTTTAAGGTTATGTTAATTCATTTTTTTTTTATTATTTCTATTTTTGATTTATTCAAGTTGTGTCACGATTAATTATTTTAATTATAAATTAGTTTCTTTTCATTAATTTATTTTTATTTAAAAATTTTATAAAATTATTATAATAATATTATTAAATAAATTTTATATATATATAAAATGAATTAAGTATAATTTATATATTATATAATATTAATGAATTTTTTCTTTTTATTATATTTTTTTTTATAATATTGTATTAAATTGAAAATTTAAATTATAATCAATATTTTATCAAATATTATTACATAATTAGCAATGCATTATACTAATTTTATATTTAATTTATATTTTAATATTATAACTATTAAAAAATAACTTTTTATTTTATATTTATTATAGATCAAACAAAGAAACAAAATGGGATGAAATGAATATAATTGCAACATTGCATCCACCAGGAAAAGATTATGGCCATATCAAGATTGATGAACCAAAAACTCCATACAGCTATGAAGGCCTGCCCGGTGAATTTGAATTTGATGAATTAGATTCTGCTACAATTGCTGCCAAGTAAGTATTTATAATAATTCATTATATTCATTAAAAAAAGTGATCTATATTTCTAATTATTTTTATAAATAATATTTTTATGCTATTATTTTTCAAAAATATCATCTTCAACAATTAACCACAGTTAATATTAATAACAGCAATCAAAGAATATTATTTACATATTTACATCCAGTTATTTTTATATATAACGTCTTTATTGCATAATTAAAAGATTTATTATCTATAAACTTTATAATTTTGCATAAATTTAAATTACAATATTACATATAATTGTATAATATAAAAAATATTATTCATTGTCAACAATTAAATAGAATTAATATTAATAGCAATCAAAAAATACTATTTATAATTGAAATAATATATTAATTTAATATATGCATTATACAATATCATGTATAATATATATATATATATATATATCATAAAAACACGTGTACACACACATACACGCGCATGCGCGCGCGCACATATATATACATGTATATGAGTATTTTTAAAAAATAATTAAAGTTATTATTAAAATAATAATAATTATATTAATAATAAATTATATATCATATAAAATTTCAAAAATTAAAAAATCATTTAATTTAAAAAAAATAATGTGTTTCAATAATAATATTTTTTATTAATCATGCTGTACCTAAAAAAAATTTGGAATATTTGTTTAATATTTAATATATTATAAATTTATCAATTTAATTATTTTATTTTATAAAAGGTAAAAATATATTAAAATAAAATATATAATGCTTCAAATAATAAATGTAAAAATTAATTAAATAAATTAAATATAAATCGATGAATTTATATTTTCTTTTTTCTTAAGCAATAAAAATTGTTTAGAAAGATATTTATAAATATTTGTAAAGATATTATAAATATATAAATTTTACTAAAATATCCATAGAATAAATTATAATTTAATTTGATTGTTATTTATAATTTCATTTTTTTTTTTTTTTTGGATTTTTTTTTAAATTTTAAAATATACTTCTTTTTAAGTTCAATCAGTCTAATTTATACTATCTGTTTAGAATTTTATACCAGGATTGGCTTAAATGAGGAAGCTATCAAATTTAAATTATGCAACTATTCTCTACTAAGCTGCAGCATCTCCATGTAGGGTATAACATTGTTACATACATAATGCTGAACTATTGATGTTGGAGTTGAATATTAAGAATAAAATGAGGGTATGCAAATGTATGTAGAAATTTGATGTTGATTTATTCTTTTTATTGGAATAAATCTTCATTGGTAAGTTTTAGTGCTCTTCAAAGTATACATTTGCTATTTTTGCTTCTCAGAGTTGTCTCTTGATTCCTTTATTATTTTCAGTAATTCTACACAAAAAGAGGTACTTGTGTGGAAAATTGCTTCAATTCCTCAGAAAAATGTTATTTAAATTTCCAAAATTCGGGTAAACAGGATCAATTTTTAAGATGGTTCTATATTTGCAAATACTATGATCAAACAGTTTTAATCGAATATATATGCACCAAGAAACATACAAAGTGTTTTGGAAGGTATGTAACATCCCGAAGTCAAAAATTACATGAGATATAGTTATAATATTATTTTTGAATTATTAATTATTATTAATTGTCAAAATTGAATGAACATATATTTAAATACTTTTTATATGTCATACATTTTTGGCATTAATTTTTACAATTTATATGAATTTTTTAAAAATTTTTTAATTTTAATAAAATTAAAATTATTAAATTTAAATTTAATATAAATTTAAATATTTTAGAAATAAAAAAAGAATAATGTTCGTGTGCATGCGTGCGTGCGTACGTATTGCGTGTGTGCGTGTATAGTGTGTGTATTTTATTTTAATGTTTTAAAGTAATTTTAAAATAATAATTTTCCAATTAATATAATAAAATATGAAATCAGATATATATCTATTTAAAATGCACGATAATGTAAAATTAATTAATATAAAAAATTTATTTCGTGTAAATATATGGAATTCTATATACCTTAGAAAAATTATATTATTTTAAAGATATTATTATAAAAAATATATTATATATTATTATAAAAAATATTATTTATTTATAAAAATTTC